ATGACCAAGCAGAGAGAGATGAGGATGAAGCTGAAGACGTTGAGGAGGAGATGGCAGATGCACAGGACAGAGGAGGCCTGAGGAACGTGGAGGACTGGAATGGCTTTATTTCTGGAGGACCAGCGGCTGAAGAAGAGGCGCTGCTGGACTGGAAACCCGGCGACCCTGTGACTCCTCAGTATGTCCTTAGACTGCCAGGATACACGGATGGTGAGGGCAAGAACAAAGCTGCTTATTTCTGTGTGTTTCTTCTTTAATGCAACACTGTACTGATGTTTGCTGTTAATGGTTATTTGTGCAGACTACATGTGCTCCCCAGAAGACAACATCTACAATATTAGCTTCTCACGCTTCAAAATAAGAGATCTGGAAGGTGGATGTGTCATCTTGGATCTAAAACGACATTGTCCAACAGGTATGATAGATCTAAGAGGATAGTTCACATAAAAATTTAAATTCTGTAATTTTAGACACACCTTTAACTTGTTTTGAACCAGTTTATTTTTATTTTGAACAAAAAAAATCACTGCTGGAAACCTTGACTTGTCTTGGCTAGATTGACCTACATAGTATTTCCCTACTATGGGTGTCAATACTTGCTGGTTTCCAAAAGTCCTCATTATACCTTCCCTTGTGTTTGTCAGAACAAAAAAAAAATCTCAAAGTTTTTTACCTATGTCAAGGATGACAGATGCCCTCTAATGGACATTTGTTGCACTAACATTTATCAAATGTATTTCATCCTGCTTTTCACTAAATCTCATCACCAGTGTTGTTTTAGTATTTATATACTATTTATATATTATTGATTTAATTAAATGCTTATGTTATTTTAATTTTTGTTTTTTTAAACTTAAGTTGTTGTGACTGCATACACGATTTAAAATATACTATAATGTTGATTTTAAGCTTATTATATTTTAGCATTGTAGTGTAGGTGTGTGTGTGTGTCATATATATATATATATATATATATATATATATATATATATATATATATATATATATATATATATATATATATATATATATATATATATATATATATATATAAGAACGCTCACCGGCCACTTTAATAGTCACTTCTAACTTGTGCCGGGTTGGACCACCTTTTGCCTTCAGAACTGCTTTAATCCTTTGTGGCATAGATTCAACAAGGTACTGTAAATATTCCTCAGAGATTTTAGTCCATATAGACATGATAGCATCACGCAGTTGCTGCAGATTTGTCGGCTGCACATCCATGATGCAAATCTCCCCGTTCCACCACATCCCAAAGGTGCTTTATTGGTTTGAACTCTGGTGACTCTGGAGGCCATTTGAGTACAGTGAACTCATTATCATGTTTAAGAAAACAGTCTGAGATGATTCACGCTTTATGACATGCCGTGTTATCATGCTGAAAGTAACCATCAGTAGATGGGAAAACTGTGGTCATAAAGGAATCGACATGGTCTGCAACAATACTTTAGTAGGCTGTGGTGTTGACACGATGCTCAGTTGGTACTAATGGGCTCAAAGTGTGCCAAGAAAACATCCCCCACACCATTACACCACCACCACCAGCCAGGACTGTTGATACAAGGCATGATGGATCCATGCTTTCATGTTGTTGACATAAGATTCTGACCCTACCATCCAACTGTTGCAGCAGAGACTCATCAGACCAGGAAACTTTTTCCAATCTTCTATTGTCCAATTTTGGTAAGTCTGTGCGAAATGTAGCCTCAGTTTCCTGTTCTTAGCTGACATGAGTGGCACCAGGTGTTGTCTTCTCCTGCTATAGCCCATCCGCCTCAAGGTTGGATGTGTTGTGCATTCATAGATGCTCATCAGCATACCTCGGTTTTAATAAATGGTCATTTAATTTAATGTTGTTTTTCTATCAGCTTGAACCAGTCTGGCCATTCTCCTCTGACCTCTGTCATCAACAAGGCATTTGTGCCTACAGAACTGCTGCTCACTGGATATTTTCTTTTTTTGGACTATGTAAACCCTAGAGATGGTTGTGCTTGAAAATTCCAGTAAATCAGCAGTTTCTGAAATACTTAGACCAGCCCATCTGGAATTAACAACCATGCCTGATGCTCAGTGTGAACTACAACAGATTATCTTGTCTACATTCCTAAATGCATTGAGTTGCTGCCATGTGATTGGCTGATTAGAAATTTGTGTTAATGAGCAGTTGGACAGGTGTACCTAATAAAGTAGCCACGCGCGCACACACACACACACACACACACACACACACACACACACACACACACACACACACACACACACACACATATATATATATATATATATATATATATATATATATATATATATATATATATATATATATATATATATGTATATATATATACAACAGTTCTGTCTGGTTCTCAAATCTGGTTGGCTGATAGCCGTGATATATTTAAGTAATATCAGCACCCGTAAAGCCTCTTTACCCTTTGTGTATTACTCCGCCCACATGCAGCCAGCAAAAAGCAGACACTACAGATCTAAAGTTTAAAAGATGCTTTAAAAGAAGCTGAGCTGGTTAACTGTCAGCTTATGATTTGAATCCAACACGAAAGAAAGTAGTTCCTCATACAAAAGGGTTTTTGAGACTCTCCATGTTTTATTTTGTTTTTATATATACAATTATGCGGTCAAACGGTTGTATAAACGCAATATCACACTCGTAGCAGTGGGATATGGCTGTGTATCGCACTGGTAGAGGTACAACGCACGGCTCCCACCAGTGCCGATATACAGCCATATCGCACTGCTACGAGTGTGACATTGCTCATATATATATATATCTTCCACTTTATTTTCAGATCATTCCAACAATTTTAATAGTTTTAGTAAACAATATCATCCCTGTCCTAAATATAATCTAAATTGACCTCTTCTCGTTGTTTCTCTCACAGAAATAAAGGATATGATAGAGCTGGATGCTGGCCGTTTCATTCAGTATCATTTCAGTCCAGCTTTTCTAAACCTCAGGGAGATTGGAGCCATGTAAGTCTTGTTTTAGAGTTGATCAAAATACTCAATCTGAATCAGTAACACATTTGTAAAACACTGAACTTCTGAACAGGCTTGAGTTCACAGTGGGCGGAAAAGCAGTGAACAAGTTTCGTCTGATCGAGAAGCATTACTTCAGGGATCTTCTGCTCAAGACGTTTGACTTTGAGATCGGCTTCTGTATCCCACACAGCAGAAACACCTGTGAACACATCTACTGCTTACCAGACCTGGATCCACACACCAGTGAGCAACACGCACTTTCAAATAGGCTTGAAGAAGTGAACATTTGAGCACATGTAAATGTCCATGTCAACACCCTTCTGTTTATTTTTTCTGCAGTTGAGGAGATGATCAATCACCCTTTTGAGACGCGCTCAGACAGCTTCTACTTCGCCAACAACACGCTGATCATGCATCATAAGGCTGAATATTCCTTCAGTCAGGGGCTGCAGAACAACCAAAACCAAAGCTAGACTCTTCGCCATCAGGCAGTGTGAACCACAGCAATTCTAAATAATAAACACAATAGTGCTGTACATTGGGTTTTGTAAATCATATGCATGAACTAGACAAAGACATGTCTTTGTTACCTTGTGTTTTTGCTTGGGAGATGTTGTGTTGCTTTCACAGTATTAACATAATAAAACAAATGAAAAATTCAGCAAATACTCCTTTGTGTTTTGTTAAGTTGCAGGAATATACAGGGTAAAGGGAAGCATAGATGATGATAAAGAGTGCAAACATCTTGAGGATCCATTACATGCCCGGTTTATTATTTTAATCGCAATTATTGTTTCCCTTTTTATTCTCCTTCACTGAAGCTCTTAAACATCCGGTCTATTTTTGTCACCACACAATACACAGGATCCTCTCCTCTTATCGGGGGGTCTTTTACACCCACAGAGTGATGATAAGACATAGGACCTTGTGCCCTTTTTAATACCTCAACGCAAACATTTTCTAAGCTAATGTATGATGATTATTCAGCAGTCATTATTCTCCAGTTTTCAGTGTCCCCCAATCCTTCAGAAAAACATTTTGTATCATTAGCAATGTGGACAGCAGATGTGTTTTCAGAACCTAAAACAGGTCAAGTGCCCACTTTAACATTTCAAATACATGTTCTTCTCAGTGATAGTTAAAAAGTGATTCGTAAAATGTCACCAAAGGACTTTGGTTTTAGTGTGGTGTGTAAAGTTTCATACAGTGAATGACATTTTAGTGGCTGTAGTAAAAACATATTAGTGTTGGTGATTTTAGTTACCTCCTCACATTTGTTTTACATTGCTTCATGCTCTATTTTAAGTTCCATAAGGGTATTCAAGCTGTGATGAGGGGTCACAGGTGTTTTCATAGGGTCACACATTTAGAGGATGCTCACACTGAGAGGAAGAGAGAGGAATACAGAGAGGGTTCAGGAAAGAAATATTCATCAAAACAGCAGCCAGTCTCTCGAGAAGAAATCTGAAACAGGACAACGCGACTGGATGATGAATTTACTGTAGTTTTCTGTTAGATTTTGATATAGTTGGAGATTATTTTAGTAGTTTAGTTTCGCATGTTCACACGTTTTGTGGTGGATTTCTTGTGGAGAAGATCTTTTGTTTGTCACACTGATGACCACTGCTCTCACAGTGACCAGCGCCGCGCTTCTCTGTGTTGTGTGCGCGCGACCCGCGTTGATGCCTGACCAGTATGCTCGAGGAGTGGTATGGATATTCTCCCCTCTTTAGAGTGTGTGTGGTTTAACCTTATACCCATTCTAAGCAACAAATAATTACTAGCATGTACTAGTTCACTATCTACATATTGTCTTATGTGATTTATGATGATGACTTGATCCTGTTGTTTATTGCAATGAGAAGTATTGTCTGTTTTTGTCATTATATGAAGAGGCAACTTTTCATTTTTAAGGAATTTTTTTTTTGTACATTTTTTACTTTTCAGGATTTAGTTTAGTATTTTTTTTATTTATTTATTTATTTGTTTGTTTGTTTGTTTGTTTGTTTGTTTGTTTTTGTGTGTGTATGTAGGACTGGCTGATTCGGTATGGGTATTTACAGTCTCCAGATACTCTGATTGGTGGTCTTCAGACCAAGGAGAGTATTGAAGAAGCTGTCCGCAAAATGCAACGATTTGCTGGCATCGAAGAGACTGGGAACTTGGGTAACAGTTTATTATTGCACCCACAGTTGAGGACACAATTATTAGCCCTCATGTGCAATATTTATTCTTTTTCAAACATGTTTCAAGTGATATTATAGTGTTTCCTATAATATTTTTTTGTTCTGGGGAAAGTCTTATTTGTTTTATTTTGGCTAGAATAAAAGCAGTTTTCCATTTTTTATTCTATTAGTTACAGAACAAACTATACAATGACTTGGCTTAATTACCAAATTTGACTAGTTAACATAATCAACCTAGCAAAGTCTTTAAATTAGACTTTAAGCTGAACACTGATGTCTTGAAAAATAGTAAAATATTAATTTTTGTCGTTATGGCAAAGATGAAAGAAATCAGTTAATAGAAATTTTTTATTTAAACTATTATGTTTAGAAATCTGTTGAAAAATGTCAATTAATAAACTATACTGTATATATCTGTAATGCATTTGTTTCTTTTTTTCATGAATAAAATTTTAACCTTTTTTCTGCTGTCAGAAATTCTGATGATTCCCTTTTGTCAAATTGCAGATCAGAAGACTTTAGAAATGATGGGCAGACCTCGTTGCTCTCTCCCAGACACCATCAGCTTTGAAGAGCTGCTGAAAAGAAACAGGAGAGGTAAAAACAAGGTGATGATGAAGAAGAAGAGATACACTCTGCCAAAGATGAGATGGGACAAGACTGATATAACATGGAGGTGCGATCGTTAAATCTCCTGCAGTACATTATTTGCATTACAGAAAAAGTTACTATAATCTCTAAGTTATTTTACCATTTACATTGAAAACTTTTAAATGAGTTCTGTTTTGTTTTTCCAAGAAATTAAATTCATTTGATTAATTTTAGTAAGTAAAAGGCACTCTAAAATGACCTTTTCCTTATTCTTTTGAATTGTTTTTGACTGCATTTTAAGTAAATAATTTGGTTATAAAACATGTACATATATATGACATAAAATAACCTTATGAGTCCATTGAACCTATGTTAATAGTTTGGACAACTTACAAAATCAAGTTAGAACATGATTAACTTAGTTTAATGAGTTACAATGAACTAAAAACATATGCTGTCATGACAAACTGACCCAAAAATAGTTTACAGTGCGGGTTACATTTTTTAGTAATGATTTCCTTTAATTTACCCAAATGTGGGTTAAAACAACCCAAGCATTTTTAAAGTGCACTGTTAAAAAATCCTGAACAATTTATGGTAAAAGCTGTTAAAAATGCAGCACTGGTATATATAAAAAAAAATAATAATCCAGGCTTCCACACAATTCCTTCATGTTGTCACAACACAAACCGATTAAGTTAGTTAAATTGTTTTTACAAATTTAAGTGGACTGAACCTAAAACAATTAAGTTGTCTCAAAAAATCTCAAGAATCGTGATGTTTTAGCTCATTTTAAATACGTTTAAACAAGCAACCCTTTTTTGAGTGTGTGATTAAGAGAGATTTACCATAAAAAACTAGATAGATTAATATTAAATGTATTAAAACCTCATTTGTGAGGTTTCAAAGTTAATAAATAGCATTAATGATTAAAATTAGCTTGCTTCAGTATTTATTTCTTTTTTAAATGTGTTTGAATAACGCATTTTCAATATTATGACATTTATTATAGGTGACAATGTTACAGTATACAACATTGTATATTTTCATTATTTCATACAATAATACAGGTGACACACAGCTACAATAAATATTCTGTCAAGTAATCCCTATCAAGTAGACCCATGTCTTTCCCCTTTTTTCACCAGCATGCAAGATTTTCCACCTCCCTCAGTGTCTCCTGCTCTAAATCCAGGTCTGGTGAGGCTTATTTTGGGCAATGCCCTGCGAGTGTGGAGTGAAAACACACCTCTGCGTTTCCACTACTCTCCAGATGAACCATCGCCACAGACAGACATCACAGTCACTTTTACCAGTGGCTACCATGAGGACGGCTATCCATTCGATGGCAAGGGTGGAGCTCTGGCACATGCCTTCTTCCCAGGTAAAGGAGATCTGGCTGGAGACACACACTTTGATGCTGAAGAGAGCTGGTCGTATGGAGGTAAACTCAATATCATTCATATTGCATGCTTTTGTGTCTCATCATCATACACAGATCGTCATATCTGAGAGCTTTAAAAAACACATGCTGCTTGAATCCTGCAGACTGGAGCAGCGACTCAGATTTATTCACAGTCGCAGTGCATGACTTTGGTCACGCTTTAGGCCTGTTTCACTCCTCCTCCAGTGACTCCATCATGAAGCCGTATTACTTTGGTCCTGTGGGAGAGATGAACAGCTACAGCTTAACCGCTGTTGACAGACTGGGAATTCAGGCGCTGTATGGTACTCTCATATGCATAAAACTTTTATATGTGATCCACGTTTCAGTTATTTCAGTCAGACATGTGCCAGAGTTTATCCAGTATATTGCTTTAAATGAACACACACAATAATGTTATTGTGGGCACTTCAAAATAATATAAATGATAATGTCTGCATTTTTTATCTGCAAGTATTATTAATATTTTTCAAGCACACTTTAGTATCTTTTTCTGTCCAATTAAAAGGAATTACTGCATGAAATTTGCTATACAGTTTTTAAGTTTTGTGTATTTATGTTGTTGATATCAATTAAATTATTATGATATCAATTAAATTACCAAAAAAAAATTTGCCTAATATTTACTCACCCTCAAGTGGTTCCAAACCTTTATGAGTTTCATTATTCTGGTGAACAGCAAAGATACTTTGATGGAATGTTAAAAACCGGTAACCAATGACATCCACAGTAAGAAAAAATAATTTTTGGAACATTATTATGCTATATTATATTATATTATATTATATTATATTATATTATATTATATTATATTATATTATATTATATTATATTATATTATATTATATTATATTATATTATATTATATTATATGTTCATTTTACATGTATACAGGAAAACAACACAATTTGAAACCACCTCCATCTGTTGCTGCTCCCACTACTTATCCGACCCAGTTTTCCACCACTTATCTTCTACATCCTCCCTATTAGTGAGTAACACTGTTGTCATAACAGGTTTGACAGTAATATCATTTATCGTCCTAAATGTTTTTCTCTCTTTTTAAGTCCACCAGACTCTGCTGATCGCTGTCAGGGAGGTTATGATGCCGTTGCTAATATCAGAGCAGAGATTTTTTTCTTTAGAGGTATGATGTTTGTGTGTGTATGTGGTTAATAGTACCATTCAAAATATTTCTGAACTTTTTTTTTTTTTTTAATTTGTGTTTAAAAAAAACACAAATTTACCACTCAATTTAAAAACCACAAAAAACACATGTTTACCACTCAAATTTCATAGAGAAATACACCACTCTAACCTCTAGTTATAGCCTATACAGACAAATAGTTACAGCTGTCAGTTAAAATGTAAGTTTAAAGGTTAGTGCAGCCTTACTTTGACTATGCTCCAGCCTTTTGGTATAGCTGTTGTTCTAAAAAAAAGAAAAACTAAATTACAGACTGCCCAAAATAAGTTGTGTGGAATTGTTATGAAAGTACCTCCACTGGCACATTTAAATATTGACATTATAGTAAAATTAATTTTTGAAAAGTTAAAAAAAGGGTAACTTTTGTGAAATAAGTGATGGTGTTTAAGATTTTAAAGAAAATGGTAGCAAAATATTTTATTGATTATAATGTTTTGGTTAGTGAGGTACACTGTCATTCAACAAGAGCAAGTAGCAGGGTTATTTATCCTTGTAGATTTAGGAGTGAAACAGGTAGAAATTCTTTTTTGTGTACTACTGTAGCTCTGTTGCTTGGGATGAAAGGAGTTTTAAGGAGACTCAGTTTGGGAGTGTTTTAGAAGGGAAATTATAAAGTGGTGGTTTTATACTTGAAGTTGAGCATTTCTTGTTGTGCTTAGTTGCTGAGCTGATGATGTTTGCACTCCATTTATGATTTGCTCGTTCAAGAATATCGAGGACCACAATGGAAATAAGGCGATGGCTTTTTTTGTGTATTTTATCCTCGACAGTTTTTAAAATATGTATGAATTAGTCTAACTGGACTTGTTTGTATATTTTTGGTTAAAATTGTCAAGTAAAATCATCACCAAAAGAAGCATATATTTGATCTGAAAATATAGTAAAACAGTAATATTTTAAAACATTTTCACAAAGTGTTTTTAAATATATTTTAAAATTTAAAAATATAAGTAATTCCTTCGTGACAGGCTAGTTGTACAGCATTGTTGTCTTCAGTGTAACCTCTTCAAAGACAAAGATATTCTGTGATCATCTGCTGCTTAAACCATATTTTTGTTATTATAAAGGTTGACAACAATTGTAAATGAAATATTATTTTGCAAACTGTTCTACTTTTTTTCAGAATGATGAACTGAGCTTTAAAAAAACGTCATTGATTTGAAATAATTCATATTTTGTAACATTAGAAATATCTTTGGGGTCACATTTGATTGATTTAATGAATCCTTGCTGAATATAGTTATCTACTATGTACATTTTTTACTTGTATTATACTGTAAACATATTTAACAGTATTCAGTTGAAATCCTCCTGAATTATTACCTCCCCCCCTGTTTCTTTTTTCTCCAATTTCTGTTTAACAGAGAGAATATTTTTTCAACAAATTTCTAAACATAATAGTTTTAATAACTCATTTTTAATAGTTGATTTATTTTATCTTTGCCATGATGACAGTAAATAATATGTGACTAGACATTTTACAAAACACTTCTACACAGCTTAAAGTGACATTTAAAGGATTAACTAGGTTAATTAGGTTAACTAATCAGGTTAGGGCAATTAGACAAGTTATTGTATGACAATGGTTTGTTCTGTTGACTTTCGATAGAAAATATAGCTTAAAGGGGCTAATAATATTGACCTTAAACTTTTTTTTTAATTAAAAACTGCTTTTATTCTAGCCAAAATAAAACAAATAAGACTTTCTCCAGAAGAAAAATATTATAAGACATACTATAAAAATGACCTTGTTCTGTTAAACATCATTTGGCAAATTAAAAAAAAAAAAAAAAAAAAAGAGGGGTTAATAATTCTGACATCAACTGTAAGTAAATGTATAAAAGTGCAAGTAAACGTGAACGTATACTCTTCAGGTTATCCTCACACAACATTACAAGTGGAAATGTATTATGTTTTTAAACGAATTAAAGGAAAAAATTTATCGATATTCACCATTTATCAGGTCAACATTTTTGGAGGGTAGATCATTCAGGCTCATTGCTGTCCTCGACTCCAGCTCTGATCCACAGCTTCTGGATTGGTTTGCCTCCAGATACAGCCAGGGTTGATGCAGCATATGAGAGAAGAGATGGACATATTGTATTCTTTATTGGTAAGAAATAATAAATGAGACCAAAAATGTAAAAAAAAAATGTAAATGAGTATGAGCATGTGCGAGGTTGATCAAGTAAACCTAACATTAAGGTGGTATAGAAGTTGCTACAGACTTTTATTTCAGTGTGACGTAATTTCAACAGAATATTGAGTAGGGAGTGGGGGTTTTATTTTTGCGCTCCTCCTGTTATTTTTTACTCACAGAAAACTAACAACTGGGGCATGGCTAAGCCAATCTTGCCAGAGCCATCAAACTGACACCACAGCCCTTCCTGAGAGGAAGCAAATGGTCTGAATTTGATTAAGATTAACAAAATATTAAAATAATCTTAATTATTTACCCACAGAACTTGTGCTCTAGCAAAATAAACATTGTACATTTTTAGTCATTCATTTAATTTTTCTTCGGCTCAGTCCCTTTATTCATCAGGGGTCGCAACAGCGGAATGAATTGCCTTCCAGCTGCAACCCAGCACTGGAAAACATCCATACACACTCATTCCCACACATACCCTACGGCCAATTTAGTTTTTTCAATTAACCTATTGCACATGTTTTTTGACTGTGGAAACCCACACCAACACAGGGAGAACATGCAAACTCCACACAGAAATGCCAACTGACCCAGCCGAGGCTTGAACCAGCGACTTCCAAGCTTTGTTATTCCGAGATAACAACCTCTGAATCTAATAACACAGGCTCATCCAAGTACAACATCTTGACTGTCAGTGAATACGTTCACATCCATATATACAGTATGCCTGTGCCTGTCTGTCTCTGTCACTGTTTTTAACTGCTTGCTGCCATTTTGTGATGATAAGAGTTAGTATATGCTATTTTGTTTTTATTTCTGTCAGCTTTGCCTTTAATTACAGATTTAGTAAGGTATTTTAAAGTATAATGGCTCTTTTTGCAATTAGTAATGTAATAAGTGGGATAAAATACATCCAGGTGGTTGTTTTTGCTGAAAAAAAAAACAAATAAAGACCACCTGGATGTACTTTATCACTTGCTTATAAATCCTGTATAATATATTTATATTGAAAAATAAAAACATTCCTGAAATGTTTAGCAAAACTGAATTGAAAGAATGCAACACATATAGAAATATTTGATAGTGACAAAAGTGAAAATTGTACAGTGGTCTTTTTTAATCTCGACTATGTTGCATTGTGGTCTTTAACAGGTAATCAGTACTGGGTTTTTAGGAACACAATGGCCCTGCCTGGGTATCCACGACGGCTTTCAGACTGGGGTTTACACACTGCAGCAGGACAGCTTGCTGAAAGTGTGGAGGCAGTGTTTGTGTGGCCACACAATGGGAAGACGTATGTGTTCAGCAGTGGACTGTACTGGAGGTTTGATGAGGCAGGAGGAGAGAGGAAGATGGAGGAAGGCTATCCCAAGCCAGCCGCCATCTGGGGGATGCCCTCTCACCCAGATGATATCATCGCATTTCTAGATGGTAAGAAGTGTCTTTTGTCATTCATTCATTTATATTCTTTTCAGCTTAGTCCCTTTATTAATCTGGGGTCGCCACAGCTTATCCAGCATATGTTTAATGTAGTGGATGCCGATGCCCTTCCAGCCACAACCCATCACTGGGAAACATCCATACACACGCATTCACACACATACGTAGCAGTCATTCCGACAATTTAGCTTATTTAATTCACCTGTACCACATGTCTTTGGACTTGTGGGGGAAACCGGAGCACCTGGAGAAAACTCACGTGAACACGGGGAGAACATGCAAACTCCACACAGAAATGCCAAATGAACCAGTTGAGACTCGAACCACTAACCCTCTTGCTATGAGGCGATCGTGCTACCTATTACGCCACTGTGACGCCCCATCTTTTGTCATAAAAACATTTTTTTTCTCTAAAACCACCTTTAAAACATTTTATTTGCATTTCCCTCAGGAGAAACCTACTTTTTCAAAGACTCAAACTACTGGATTTTACAAAGAGGAGGTCTGGATCTGGAATCTGCTTCTCCGAAGTCTATAGCTACTGACTGGATGAAATGTGATAGACATGTTTCAGCTCCCACACCTGAGATTCCCAGAGACAGAAACTGTAGTTGTGTCCAGAATGTGGCAGCCGTGATGCGATCTTTATCAGTGATTATATATTTGACTAATATAATTTGTATTTTGGTTGTTACAGTGTTTTGATGATAATATTCTTTATATTTTAGTTGATTGATAGTTGGGTCATGCTGTGTCAATTAAACCAGAGCTACAGGAATGCAAACTTTGAAAATATGAAAAAATAATAATAAATCAAATATTGATGCTGAAATATTTCTAAAGTTATTTTTTTTGAAGTTGCCCCCCATTTTACTTAAAATCTAACATGAACGGTGTAATTTGATTCCCCTCTACAAAATTTATAGTACTCAGTAAATATAAATCTCATGCCGAAATACAAAAGTTGAGTCTGGGTCATTTCTGAAATGTGGTCGATTTGACACCGAATGACTCCCTGGATTTGTACTTAACCACATTTCTAAGATATTTTGGAATAGAAAATAGTCCAGTGGTTGTTCATTTTTTATGTCTGCAAATGCAGTGTGAAAGATCGTCAGCTGATTTTCAATACTGTGTATTTGAACATGTTACTGATTTGACATTCTGCTACAGTACATCCTAAGTATTTAGAAGTAGACTGGTAGATGGTCCTTAATCTGTCAAAAAGTAGACTAGAAGCCACAAAACTGTACTGTAATCAGTATTTGCAGTAATTTGCTTCAACCAATGGATTCCAATTATTTCTGTCATATCAAAATAAAAAGGCATGAGCCTATTAAATTCATCGACATGCTTTTTGTGCAATTGAATACAAATTTTTGAGGATTGTAAAATATGTTAATGTTTAAATATTTATTGTTTTTTTACAAAACGATGTTTTTTCTATTCAACAGGGTTTCTACAAACAGCCATTAAGCAGCACATCTGTTCAGCATTGATAATAAACAATAAGTAACAGTTGCAAATATAATAAAATGGATAAAAAAATGACTGAACAATATATTTATTTCACAAAGCAGATTTTTTCTATTTTTAAGTATAGAGAATTCTGGGAAATGTAGTCCACACCTAGGTACAACAGTGTAAGGAAAATATTAATTTGAAAAGGAATTAAATTAATTTTAATTTTGATTAACCATATAAAATTTGTAATGCTATAATTAAAAATGACACAATTAGATGAAAGACTTTAGATAAAAGGATTTTTTTTGTGCAATCATAGCCCACACTCCTAACCATCAGGTGGCGGTAATATAGCTAGAAGTTGTATGCCAACCGCCAATAAAACAGTGAAGAAGAATGTAGTCCACAAATAAAACACTTAAATTGATAGGGAAGCATGAAACTGGACTGCGTGAGGGCTGTAGTGAAGAGGAGTGAGTAGAACATGTGATTCTGTAATGTCACAGGTATGAAACACAGAGGGAGGAAATGAGAAATGAACTAGGGAGATAGGGATTCGGGAAATAACATTAAAAGGTTTACTGAGTACAAAGGACAGGGTACAGACAAGAATTCTTATGAAGGTCTTGAGAGAAACTATAAAATAAATAAATAAATAATTTAAAGTATAATTGAAGATAAAGGGAAGAGAGTTAGATATTAAGTATTAGAAGTAGTAGAAGTAAAAGTGGTAGTAAGAGTATTGTGGTGGTTATTATTATGATTATTGTTATTGTATTGAGGGATGTGTTTGAAAAGTAAGCAATCTGTTAAAGTTTTAAAGTAAAAAAAAACTAGCCCGCTATCATTTATTAGATAGAAAACAAACTGGCCAGCACATGCAACTGTCCTCAGTCACAATTTGGCCATTTCAATAAAAAATTATAATTAAAAAAAAATTAAAAATAATAATAATGATAATAATAATAAGGAATTCTTCTGAATTTTTCTAGTCTCTTTGGTAAAAAAAAGTACATTTGAAAATTCATGGATATCAACAATATATATTTAAATTAATATGATATGGTCCACTTCTGGTGCTTTACACCTTTTTATTGCTCATTTTTATTTCAGAAGTAAGGTTCAAGATTTAGAATAAAGTTACCTGTAAAATGTTTTCTCTGTTTAAAAACAGTACAGTTGTGAAAGTCCCACCGAAGCAACAGCCGACAGAAGATTATGTTTGGTCTTAAAGCCTTTCTCAATGGATTATTTTCATTACTTATGATGGCATGGCAGTCAAAATAGGACAAATGAGCTCATGTATGGGACAAATTCTGGACCTTTTACAGTGAGGGGTGGGTCTTTCGAACCCCCCTGGCGACAGGCCTGAAAAGTTAGAACATGTTTTCATAGAACTTTGGCCGTAAAAGCGCACCAAAGTGTTTCGGGCGCAGATCAGATTTTCTCCAGGTCATAATTTATTTTCTTTATATTAATTTTGTCTAAAAAATTATTATACCTGTCCAGTTTCATCTGGAATGCATCACAGATCACCTTCTGAAGTGGTTTGAACAAACTGATATCTGATCAAAGTAAAAAGAATGAAGTGAGCAGACAGCCTCATAAACACAGATGTGACGGAAATATATATTAAATAAAAATATACTGTATTATTTGCATAAATTTATTATATAAGGCATACACACTTATCAGGCTACGGGCATGAGTGTGTATGAGAAAGAGTGGGAAGGAGGGAAGTTAGAGAAAAAAATTATTAGTCTGTAAACCTAACCTCTGTTCCACATTCCGGAGCTGAAGGTGGCGGTAATGCATTAAAACACTGGATGCCAACCCCCGTAAAATTGAAAGAAGAAAAAGAATGTAGTCCACAATCATTCCTCGAACATTATCGCGAGATCGTCCTCGGTGACGCGCAAATGAGCGTTACCTGTTCGTTCTAGTCAACGTTGCGCACATCGTTTTAATCTTACGAAGATTCTTTGAGACAGATTCACTGGGTTTTCTCTCATTGTGCCACAGTTATCCGGTCTTTGGCCTGCAACGGTTCTACTTTTGTTCTCTCCCTGAGCGGGATCACAGAGGTACGTAGCACACACACGTTACAGAAGCTCATTGACCAGTTAAGTTAGCATGCTGGACTGTGGGGTGGTCCTGTTAGCTCACAGAGAAAAGTTAACGCAGTTAGACGACCCACAAACTGTGGAATACAAGTAAACATTGAGGGTATGTAGTGTGTACTGCTTAAAAACTCAAACTAAAAGAGATTGAGCGAGCAGTGGTATGGAGGAAGCATTAGCATTATGGAAGGCCTAGGCCTGTTGCTTAATTGTGACTATTCTGTGTGTTGTGGGCGCGATATAGTGTCTGCAAATTAAAATGAACAGCTTACACTGACAACATTATGGCCATAGTATCTACATAGACAACATTATGACCACAATATGGTGTGTTTCGAGCGTTTTACAATAACGTTACTTCAACAACGTCTGGAAACGTTTGGCTGGTTTAAAGCTTCTGGGATCCTCAATAACTTGAGATTCTCCGTCGTAAGTTAAACAGCTCAGACTGTGACATTGTTTCTCAGTTTTGTACGCTGCATTTTAAAAAATGTATGTAACTCGTATATATATTTTTTTTTAAATTTTCTGGCCCATCTTAAACACAATGCCAAGCAGATTTGCTGCTTTCTAATCTCAGTCATGTCTGAAGTACGTTAGGGCTGAATCTTGATTAATGTGGTTAGTGATATTCAGCAAATTAATCCTCATATACCCAAGCATTTTGAAAGACGCCAAGTTACTTGTGAAAACCATATTATTTAGGCAAAATTAACTCTATATTCTATTCTATATACTATCATGCCTATTTAATTAATATTATTTAGGGTTGCAGCGTTTTTACCACTATTATTTTCACACACACCAAGTGAAAGCTTTAAATTCCCAACACAGTTTAGCACATATATTTATGTATTTGACAAATATCACAAAAAAACCCAGAAAGAATAGTCACGAACAGGGACGAAATGGTACTTTATAACTGATAAATGACAACGTGTTGCGTGTTTTCTGTAAACCATTGACCTTTTACTATTTTGTTAAACAATTATTTTTTAATTGGCTTAGAAAACAGTTTCAGAAAATAAATGTCTAATATACATTAAAGGTGTGTTTATATCTATATTTCATGTTCTAAAACTTTTCTCTTGGTAAAAAAAAAGTCATACTTTGTAATTACACTTGTTCCTAAATTACAGTCAGGAAGCATTAAGGTGTGAATAGGGTGGACAGCACAACTGTAAAATGTGTCCGTAGTTAAACTATGCAGTTATACTTTTAAAAAAGGTGATATGTAAAGGATGATATATAGATTGCTGTGAATCAGCATTTACAGGCAGACAGAGAGGGAGCATTTTTAAGAGTGAGGGATCGCATGTGTGCATGTAAATGACATGGCCATATCTAGCAGATCATATAACATGTTAGCTAGCTCTTTGTAAATATTTTGGAGCATATTTGCGAATTGATTAATCCTCGTCAGCTCCCTGCTGAAGCGCTTGTCTGTGTCCTTGAGATTACACAGGAATAAAGACTCGCTCCCATCAACGTTTCACTGCTGTTGATTTGATCAAAATTGGATTTTAACTGACTTTAATCAATGACTACTTATTGATTAAACAGTTTTATTGCTCACTTTTCAGCCAGTCTGAATGAAGAATTTCAACAGACCATGGAATAACTATTTTTCAATGAGGTTATCTGATTATTACAATAATTAAGAACAATATTTGTGTATGGATCCAGAGTTTTTTTGGTGAGCTGTGGCAGTTCATATACTATCTATTCTCTCCAGACTTGTTAAAATGATATAATATTAGGTTTTCCTAAGAACAAGATGACTTTGTGTCATATCTATTAAAGTCTTGCATTGTGATGCGTTTGTAAAACATGTAAAAAGCCATATTGCGCCAGACCACCCACCAGCTGATTGGTGGAGTGATGAAGCCAATTATGATATGGAGATGGTTGGGAGGCCATGATGAACAGAGGCCAGTGGGCAAATTTAGCCAGGATCCTGGGAATTTTAACCTCTGTTTAATGTCTCATCCGAAAGATGGAGCTTACTGAGCAGTATAGTGTCCCCTTCACTATACTGGGACATTAGGACCCACACAGACCGCAGGTTGAGTGCCCCCTGCTGGCCTTCACTAAAACCGATTCCAGTAGCAACCTAGCTTTCTCATCCAGGTGCTGACCAGGAGCAGCCCTGCTTAGCTTCAGTGGGTGATCATGTGAGAGTTGCAGAGAGCTAGCTGCCGGCATATGCAGTTTTACTTCTATGTAGACCCTGCCCTTGTGTATTGACTATTTCTAACTACTAAAAACGTTTAAGTATTGCTTTCTGGGTTATTTGTGACTGTTAACAGTGCTTCCCACAGGTTTGAAATATACTTGCGGTGGTAGCTGGGTTTAAATACTATTTACCCAAATCAAGTAAATAGTTAGCTATATGCGACAAACAAAACAATTTCATTCATTTATTCATTCATTCATTCATTCATTTTCTTGTCGGCTTAGTCCCTTTATTAATCCGGGGTCGCAGAGGCGGAATGAACCGCCAACCTTTCCAGCACGTTTTTACGCAGCAGATGCCCTTCCAGCTGCAAATCATCTCTGGGAAAAAAACTATTTCATCTTTAATAATAATTGTATGTATTATGATACTGTTTCTTTTCAATGGGTTAAAGTAAAAAAGACTGAAATAAAAAAAAATGCTTTTATGCATGAATGCTTTTAGCTTCTGCTTGTATGCTATTCAGGAGCCATGTGCCCCCACTGACAAGTCTGCTTTTCTCTTTCGTATTCGAGGCAAATTTGA